TATTTTTCATCAGGACTATGTTCCCATCAAAAGGAGCTCTGGTAACATAGTACCTGACTGCTAACCAGAAGGCTGGCGGTTCAAACCCACCAGCCACTACTCAGAAGAAAGATGGGGCAATCTACTTCCGCAGTGATACTGCCTCGGAAACCCAAGGAGGGGTCGCTATGAGTCGGGGCCAACTCCATGGCACACAACAACAACAACAACAACATGTTCCCATCTACGTTGCCAAGAACAGGTTTCTTCTTTGTGGTAGAAAACAAGAGAATCCTTTCACTTCTTCTCATCAGCTGAGAAATTTCAGGACCACAAAAAAGTAATCTACATTTCTAAGTAGCAGAAAAAAAAGTTATCAAATATTCCCTGCCTTGTGGAAGGTAGCCTAGATTCTAGCTGTCAAGGAAAAGAGATCTACCTAAGAATAAGGTCACAATGTTATGCTATTGCTTTCCTAAGGCCATGGGTGATTTAAACAACAACTCACACTCCATAACACATCCGCATGAAAGCACAGAAAAGATCTGGCCAGCATGAATCACTGCATCCTTTCCCCCTAGCCAATGGTACATACAACACCCAGAATAGCTTCCTGATGACACAGCAGTCAGAAGACTCTGAAAGCCTTAATCTTTGGGAGGAAATGAAAGGGAAAAACAAGTCCTTGACACAGACTTTCATTTTTAGATCTTTACAAGGCAGACCAGAGCAGCAGTGAATTGGCCTGGATCTTTGTTTTTGATTCTTCCTATTGGAGCCTGCAGTCGCTATGTGTTGTGTGTGTATGCCAGTGTGCCTGTTTTGCTCTGCTTCCACTTATTACCACTACTGCTGTTTTGCAGGTGACCATTTGCTTTAACATTTTTTATTTTAATGATCAGTTGCCTTCACAAATATTATTACTCGGGTATTTTCACTTTTAATAACTGTAACAAGAGATGTTAATACTGCTTTGTATTTACCAATCATCTTTCATTTGAACATCTCAATGACTTTATTATTTCATGATGGCACATTTTCTCTTTATGGTACAGCAGGCAAAACTGCATAGTGATATGGTTAAGTGATAATGTAGGTGACAAAGTAAAATTAGTAAGAGAGCCAAGACAAGAATCCTTTAGTTATTAAGACCTTGACAGCCAGTGCTTCACCCATTAAATGGCACTGCCACTAATATGGTAACTATTTTGGTCATCAGCTTAGGAAACTTGTATTGAGTTTTTATAAAACATATTGGCATGATAGCCAAAGTCCTGGCTTGGGAGACTAAGTAGCTGGCAATACCACAAATTAGCAGAGGAAATATCAAGAGGAAGCACAGTCTCATGAGAGAAAATCAGTTTAGTTTTGTTTACATTGTGTTTGGCCTGTGGGACAATCAGATGACAATATATAGTTGATAGCTAGCCTTGTAGATCTAGAGTTCAGCAGAGATGTCTGAGCTGGAGTCATCAGTGTATGGGTGACAAGTGAAAGCATGCAAGTGAGTAAGACTGCTTCAGGAAAATGTACAGAGTAAAAAGAAAGAAAGACATGTCGTTGTTGTTATTGTTAGGTGATGTCGAGTTGGCTCCAACTCATGGCGACAAAACACTGCCCAGTCCTGTGCCATCATCGTAATCCTTGCTATGCTTCAGACCATCATTGCAGCCACTGTGTCAATCCATCCTGTTTAGGGCCCTCCCCTTCTTTGCTGACCCTCCACTTTACCAAGCATGAGATCCTTCTCCAGGGACTGGTCCCTTCTGACCACATGATCAAAGTAGGTGAGACAAAGTCTGGCTGTTCTCATTTCTAAGGAACATTTTGGCTGTACTTTTTCCAGGACAGATTTGTTCTTTCTTCTGGCAGTCCATGGTATTTTCAGTATTCTTTGCCAAAGGCATCAATCCTTCTTTGGTCTTCCTTATTCACTGTACAGCTTTCACATGCATATGAGACAACCAAAAATACCATGGCTAGGGTTAGATGCACCTTAGCATTCAATTCTCTGTTTCTCAACACTTTAAAGAGGTCTTTTGCAGCAGATTTGCCTGGTGCAAGAACTATAGGTTTCTCTTAACTCAGGCAGCTGCTGGCTGCTGAGGCTGACAAATTCAAGGTTGACAAGTAAAACTGCACAGTCCTAATATTACCAAGCAACACGGCAGACCACTAGTTCAAGCACAGAAATAGTCCCAAGATTGGCAAACAACATGGCATTTTACAAATGAGAAAGACAAGATTAAAAAAAGTTAAGTAGCGTTACCTAATAGCTATCATTGACTGGGAGTCCCTGGGTCATGTAAATGGTTAACACACTTGGCTACTAACCAAAAGGTTAGAGGTTCAAGTCTATGCAGAGGTGCCTCAGAGGAAAGGCCTGGAGATCTGCTTCCAAAAAATCAGTCATTGAAAACCCTATGAGCACAGTTCTGCTCTGACACATATGAGGTTGCCATGAGTCAGAGCTGACTAGATAGCAAGTGGTTTGGTGGTGGTTTTGAACACTGACTCACAAGTTACTATGTTCTCAGGTACTTTTTTCAGTGCTTTTACATTATCTCATTTAATTCTAACAACTACACTGTGAAATGAATTCCAATGTTATCTCATTATTTTACAAATGAGTAAACAGAAGCACAAAGAATTATATAACTTATCTAATACCACATAGTAGTAAAACTGAGATGAAAATATAGGCAGTTTGACTCAAAAGTCCATAATTTTAACTATTAGCTTAGGCCCAGTGGCATCTGACTACTAACCAGAAGGCCAGCAGTTCAAACCCACCAGCTACTCTTGGAAGGAAGACGGGGCAATCTACTTCTGTAGAGATACCACCTCAGAAACCCAAGGAGGGGTTGCTATGAGTTGGAACCAACTCAACAGCAGTGAGTTTGGTTTTGGTTTTTACGTCATTTTAGTTCACAGGGCCTGAGCAATGAGTCTGGATTCAACCGAGGTTCTGTCTGATTCCAAAGACCCTTGTCAGTCTATTAAACAGTGTTGTCTCCCAATTCCTAGAATATTGTTTCAATAATGAGGACCACTAAGAATTCAATTTTTTAAAGGGTAAAAAGAAGGAAGGGAAATTGGGTGATGTACTTCTGCAAAGATTCACCACCTCAGAAACCCAATAGGGGTTGCTACGAGTCAGAATTGAGGAGTAAAGGCAGTAACAATACAAATCTAAATTTAAAGAACAGACTGAAAATTCTACTTCAAAGAGAATCAGGGACAGAACTGATAATTTGGGGTTGGGAAAGAAGTATTAATTCTAATTAAACCAATCTCATTAAGTCTAAGCAATTAATTATCACTGGAATACAGTGGCTTCTAGGCAGAAGGATTTTCCCAAAGGAAAGCACATTTAATGTAGCTGAGCACATGGAATTTCACCTTCCTATTTGGCAGAAACATTTCCTGGATAAAAGTTACAGGCTGACTGAATATATTTTTACCTTGGCTCTATTTCTTCATTTAATCTACCTATTTCTGATATAGCATGGTTTTAAGCCAAAAACAAGATTCAGAAGAAAGAGCTTCCTGACTGTGGTAGGTGAAATAATGGTCATAAAGATGTTCCCATCCTAGACACAAAGGTCAAATGGCATAACGCAGTCCACAAAAACAACGTTCTACATCCAACTTTGGTGAGCAGCAACTGGGATATTAAAAGCTTGTAAACAGCCAGCTACAGTGCACCTGTTATACTCTGTGTCCAGACCAAAGAGGAGTGCAGATAATCAAACATGCAAGAAATAATTAGTCCAGAGAACTAATGGAGCACATGAACCCCAGTCTCTAGACCCTGAGACCAAAGAACTACTTAGTGCCTGACTATCACTGCTGACCGCTCTGCAAAGTATCACAATAAGTGGTCCAGGGCAGAGTAGAGGAAAATGTGGAAAAAAACTTAAAATCATAAAAAAGAGCAGGCTTACTGGTCTGATGAAGACTGGTGGAACCTCTGAGACTATGGCCCTCAGACACTCTTCAAGCTAGGAACTGAACGTCACCCCTATGACTCAACAGGCAGCCAATGATATACAGGCCTATAAGGCAAACAGTAACATCAGGAGGGTATGCACCTGTTACAACAATCAAGCATATGAGATCAAGAGGACAGTATTTGCCCAGGCATATAGCTAGGAAGGTAGAAGATGGGAAGGAAGAATGAAGGGAAGGGTGAGCATAGGGAAGAAGTGGGAATAATGCTGTTACAGTGTGGAGATTGCAGTAATTATCACAAAGCAGGTGGGGTGAGGGGAGAGATATACCTATCCTAATCCCCAGAACCTATGAATATTAATTTATACAGCAAAAGTGACTTTTGCAGTGTGATTAAATTAAGGATCTGGAGATTAGGAGGTTATCCTGGATTATATGGATAGGCCCTATGTTACTACAGGGCTCCTTATGATGGGGGGGGCGGGGGTAGGAGATCAAAGGGATAGATGGCTATGTGAGAGATCTGAAGATGCTACACTATAGGCTTTCAAGTTAAAGGAGCTATGAGTCATGGAATGCAAGGAATGCAGTTCTAGATGCTAGAAAAGGCAAGGAAGCTGTTACGCCCCTAGAGCCTCCTATGGAAGTGCAGCCCTGCCAGTACTTAGTTTTGCCTTGTGAAACCCATTTCAGACTTCTGACATCTAGAACTAATAAGATAATATTAGTTATAAAATAAGATAATAAATTTGTGTTGTTTTAAGCCACAAAGTTTGTAGTCATTTGTTACAGTAGACTAATAAACTAACCAAACATCTTGTGGCTGATTTGCTGTCCAACCCAGCCATTTATTTAGTCTATTGATATCTATGACTGTACATCAAGGTTTAAGTAAAATGCTTTGGATACAGGGGAAAAAAAAAAGTATTAAGACACAGTCCTACCCTCAAGGGCTCAGAGTCTGGTAGCCTTTGTCCTTTAACTGCCAACCAACTTAATGCAGTTTTTTTTTCCCCCCCCTAACATATGATGCAACCAATTTGGTGGAAAAGAAGAGTTCTGCATACCTGGTCATGGATGAGCCCATGATAGAGGATGCTCTGCATGTCCCTGCAAAGCCGCTCAAGGCCTCCATACTTGGACCAGACGTTGGGGCTGTTGGCTGAAACCAAACCTTCAACAGTAGTCTTCAAATTACCCAGCAACTGCCAGTGCTCCCTCCTGCAAGGATATCAATTATATCAGTGGTTAGTTAACTTTATTGTAGCTAAACCTGAGCATGTGAAAGAAAGCCTAAGCCAAGAAGCCTACAGTCCTACATTCTAAGATTTCCTCTCCTATTAATTTGTCACTTGGACCTAAGACCCAACTCTGAAAGGATTAAAGTTATAAAGAACACTAAGATTTAAAATAAGCAAATAGTCTACAAAGAAATGTCCTACATCCCCAGTAGTGACTAGGGTCTTAAAAGCTTGAGAGCAGCCATCTAAGTCTCTCTTTGTCCAGAGCAAAAAAGAGTGAAGAACATCAAACACTCGAGTAAACAACTAGTCCAAAGGACTAACAGACCACGTGAACCCCAGCCTCCACAACCCTGAGACCAGAAGAACTGGACAGTGCTTTGCTGCCAATGCTGACCACTCTGAAAGAGATCACAACTGGAGGTCCTGGACAGGAGAAAAATGTGGAACAAAACTCAAAATTAAAAAAAAAAACAAAAAAACAGGCTTACTTGTCTGATAGAGACTGGATGAATCTCTAAGGCCATGGCCCTTCGAGCCTGGAGATGAACTCACACCCTTGGGTCAATTTTCAGCCAAATTATAGGTCTATAAGGTGAATAATATTACCAAGAAGATAGGCACTCCTTAGAACAATCAACCATAAGACAACAGAAGGGGACCATTTGCCAATGGATAAAGCTCAAAAGGGAGGAAGAGATAGCAAAGAAGGGCGAAGGAAAATGGCAAACACAGCAATAAAGTGGGAACAGTGCTGTCGCATTGTGGGGACTGCAGTGTAACAAAACGAATATGAATTGTTGAATAGAAAATCAATTTGCTCTGTAAACTTTTACCCAAATCACACTAAAAATACAAAAGTAAACAAGCAAACAACCTTACATTTGCATGACATTTATGCTTTGGAAAGTGATTTTTATCTATGATCCCATTCAATTCTTGAAAAAGTGGCCTATAGCCCTGTGTCAAGAAGCCCTGGTGGTGCAACAGTTAAGCACTCAGCTGCTAACCAAAAGATTGGCTGTTTGAACCCACTCAAGCGTCTCCATGAGAGGAAAATTTGACAATCTGCTTCCACAAAGATTATAGCAAAAAAAATTCTATGGGGGAGTTCCAGTAAGATGGCAGAACAGGCAGACAAACTATATAGACCCTCTACAACAAAGAAAAGGGGAACCAATTAACACAGATATAGAAGATAATCCTGGAGCCCTGAGCTTTGAAAGGAAAGATACAGAAGTGGACTAAACTCCAACTAGTAAAAGAACCTGCATGAAAACACCCAAAACAGAGATATATGTATCTGCGGTCTGCCAGCAATCCTGATGGCACGCAATATTGCCAAATGGTGCCAGGATCTAAGAATTAACCTAAAAATCAGTCCAGATAGCCAGGGGCTGCATGGAGGTCTGCACTGGTGGCCAGAGAATAAAAGGGGAAGCAGCGAAGATGAAGACAGGCTGAGTTGTGGACTTTTGCCTGTCTGGAGGATGCAGCCATTTTGAATGTTTACAAGCAGTTTGACCATTTTGGATATTTAAAGCAATAGCGTTCTCTCAGATTCCAGGGACCTAAGAATAGACTCCACATGTTGGGGACCCCAAGGACATTACAGACACAAACAACTGGAAAGGTGAGATATTCCCCTATTACTCTTATATCCCACACCCTTTAGGTGAACGGAGGTGCAGCCATCCCTCACTCCCACCCACCTTTTGGGCTCAAAGAAATTCTATCCCAGTCTGTGCTCTGACAGAGTCTGGGTGCCCTGCCCCACCCAGACTTTTTTTTACTTTTTTTTTAGTTTGTTTGTTTTTGTCCGTTTTAAAATTATTACCATTTTTTTCATCCTTTTTATTACTATGCATTCTTCTTCCCTTTCCGGGTTCTAGTTTTCAGCTTTTTCTCTCTTCCCTTTTCCTGGTTCCCATTATTTTCTTTCTTGTGGTTCTCCCCATTTGCTGTTTTTCTTTTTGCATCTTTCCCAGTTTTTTCTTCATTATTCTCCTACTCTACCTCTTTTATTGACCCCTCCCCAGACATTGCGGGTTTTTTTTTTTTTTTTTTTTTTCCATTTTTTTGGTGATTGTTCCTGTGTGTTTATGAGGTGTAGTTTTGTCTGCTTGCTTTTGCTTTTTTGATGATTTTTTGATTGTTGTTTTTGTCTAATTGAGTGGGAGACAGCAACATTGCCCATAGGATATAACCACACCAACACCTCCTGCAGCTTCACTTACTAAGAGCTACCACTTTCTTCTCCACCAACTGGCCAACAATAAACCACCACCAAAAAGAGCCTGACTCACCCTTAGCTGCTCTTCACAGTTAAGAGAGATCTAAATGCAACAATACCACAATGTCTTGGAGGCAAGAGACCATCACAGTCCACACAAAGAAGCAAGATAAAATGGTAGAAACAAGGGAGCAGGATGGAGACCTAGAACACATCCCTAATGGAGAAGCAGCATTGGAACGCCCTGATAAGGAATTCAAAAGAATTATATTTAGGTATCTTCAAAGGATTGAGAGGCAGATCAAGAAAAACACTGAAAAATTTAAAGAAAACACAGACAAAACCCTAGAACAATTTTGAAAGATAATACAAGAATGAGAAAATAAATGAATAACTAGAAATGATACAAAATCTACAGACAGAAATCCAGAAGACTAATACTAAATGTTCAGAAATAGGTAAGATATTGAAAGGGCAAAGGAGCAGAATCGAATTCAAGGAAAACAGAATTAATGAGATTGAAGACAAACACCTGAATACTTCTTTGGAAAGGGATCAAAGATCAAAACAAAATGAACAATGCCTAAGGTTCATGTGGGATACCATCAAAAGGAATAACCTACGTGTAATTAGAATTCCAGAACAGGAAGAGAAAAGGTTAACCATTGAGAAAATTGTCCAATATTTGTTGGAAGGGAACTTCTCTGATATGATGAAAGATGAGAATATATCTGCAGTGTAGTAAGTTACTTAGTGTGGCTTTTCTAGCCATAAGTCTTTGTAAACTCTGTGGTGGAATTTGCTGTGAGCAACTGAGAAGCTCCTCATTGTAAAAGTTATCCACCTGGGGTATTTCTGTTGGGTGCAACACAAAGTAATGTTCTGAGAGGTTTCTGCTCTCAGGTGCTTAGAATTCTGATGTTATGATTGGTTAGTTTGGCCACTCTGCCAGGCTCAAAAGGAGGCCTCCGAGAGGCAAAAGAGGTCTCTCTCTGACTGCAGACTGAGGAAGATGTGCGCCTGAAAGAGACATGTGCTCCTGAAAGAGACAGGTACTGCTGGGAAAGAGATGCAAGAGACACGCATTGCTGAGTGACACACCAAAGGGCATGCACGGTTGGGAGAGAGACTGTGAGACTATGAGCTGGGAGAGAGACAGCGTTTTTCCTGAAATTGAATTGTAGCCTGGTGCTTCCCTAATAAACCCCATAATCTGTGAGTTCTGTATGGTCACCGCAGCGAATTATTGGACCCAGGAGAGAGGTGGTGGGTGTTTTGGGAGGAATGGCTGGTCAAAGGGCTGGAGGGAGGCAGCATGTCTGGCCTTGCAGGAATAGGCCTTGGGTTACTGATGGTGATTCTGTCTTCCTCTTGTGTGGTTAGAGGAGGTCAGAAGATGTGGGCTCCTTGTCCTTTTTGTGATATCCATTCAGGAAGTCCAATGAACCCCAAACAGGATAGACACCAAAAGAAAATCACCAAGACATATCATCATCAAACTCACCAAAACCAAAGACAAAGAAAGAATCCTGAAAGCAGCATGTTAAAAACAAAAAGTTACTTACAAAGGACGATCCTAAGAATAAGCTCTGATTTCTCAGCAGAAACCATGCAAGCCAAAAGGCAATGGAATGGTATATATAAAAACCTGAAAGAGAAAAATTTTCAACCAAGAATTAGGTATCCAGAAAAACTGTTCCTTAAATATGATGGTAAAATTAGGAGATTTCCAGATAAGTAGAAATTAAGGGAATTTTTTAAAACCAGACTAACTTACAAGAGACACTAAAGGGAGTCCTTTGAACAGAGAACCAATAATAGCAAACAACTGATCATTAATATACAAGATGACATAACCCAGAAACCAACACAGCTATGGAAGTATCGAAAGTAAAATAAGCTTACAAGATTGTAAACAGGGAACCAGATACATCAATTGGCAAAAGAGGACAACTACAAACCAAAAAGAGGAAAAAAAATAGTGTAGTTACAGAACTTCTAAATGGTGACAAAGTCAAGAGAGTTGCAAGATAGAATGGACTGTTCTAAACTCAGGGAGAAAATTATGAATCACAAAGTAATCTCAAAGAAAAAATTATAAACCTTCACATCACAAGAAAAAATAGGACAAGCACAAATATTTAGCAAATACTAAAAAAATAGCAACGAAGGAAATGATAACACAATTCATAAACACAATGAGCTCACCACAAAAAATTATATGAAACAAATAAATGAGCAAGACCATGAAAAAACACATAACAAAATGACAACAACCAATTCATACTTGTCAATAATTACACTGAATGTCCATGGACTAAATGTACCACTCAAGAGATGGAGAGTTGCAGACTGCATAAGAAAACACAACCCATCAATATGCTGTCTACAAGAGACACCCCTTAGAGACAAAAATAGACTAAAAATCAAAGGCTGGAAAAAGATAACATCAAGCAAATGACAATCAAAAAAGAGCAGGAGTGGCAATATTAATTTCTGATCAAACTGACTTTAAGACAAAAACCACAATACGAGACAAGGAAGGACATTATATAATATTAAAGGATCAAATGAACAAGAAGATATAACTATAATAAATATCTATGGACACAATGAAAGAGCCCCAAAATACATAAATCAGACTTTAAAAGAGATGAAAAGGCAAATAGATAACACCACAGTCACAGTGGGAGACTTTAATACATCACTTTCAATGAAAGATAAAACTGGAAAGAAATTCAACAAAG